CCTAAATAAATTAAATCCCTACATATATATATCTTAAAAATGATTTAAAAAGAATGACGAACGTAAACATTCGATAAAAAATAAACTTTGCATTCGATTTAAATATATTCTTATGAAAATATTACTGTAGAAAATATCTTTCCACCCATTTATATCAATTTTTCTCCACTTATGTAAAATTTTTTATTTGATCATACCATACGATTTAATCTATCTTTTATCTGTTATTATTTAAACGGTTTTATCTTGTAAATTATACATCAACAAGACCTGATTGAATAACTACAAATAAAGAAATGAAATAATAGTAGCAAACAAAATTTGTTTGTTTTAATCGTACGATGAATATGTTTTCATACTAAAATACTTTTATCGTGTTTATTCATCCTACTCAACCCTTAGAGTGCTATGGGAAACGCATATATGCGTTTTGTAATAATTACCAGAGAGTGGGGGGGATATCGACGCATAATACGTGTTTGTTAATATTCATGTAAAATAATGTAATTTTTATATTAATTAACCTCTTAGACACTACGCGCCACTATAGTGGCTTTCGTGAATGCCATCTTGCGGTACGACGCGCCACTATAGTGGTTTTCGCGGATGACATCTTTTAAAATATATCATACCTAATTGTATTATTAATTATTAAAGTAAATTGTTAAGGTAAAATATATATGCAATATATTTTAAAGAACATTTATAATTAAAACATTAAATACTTCATTTTAATTTACTCGCATAGAAAACGGCATTGTCTGTTGAACTCTGCCATACAAACAAACAACTCCGCTCAAAATTCAGCAGTGCCTAAAAGGTTAATTAAATTATATTCAAAAAGAAAAACTATAATTATTAAATATAATTTATTTATTAGAATTTACTTAATAATAAATTATTTTGTTCGTAAAAAACATTTGAGTTAAAAGTATTCACCACTCAAAGGGTTAATTCAAATAACGAAAATTCTGACTAGAAGATTACAGGTGTTATTTCATGCTGACGCTTGACGTAAAGCTTTGAGCGTCAAATTTGACCGCATTATATAATTTCGATTGAAGTGCCATCTAGATAAGAAGCAGCTTCAAATCTGAGCGTCAAGCGTCAAGCAACATTGACGAATTAAAATAGTGTTTTACAAGTAAAAAAAATCGAAAGTTGACTTATCGATTTATGTTATTCCCTAACCTATTCGGATCAACAACAACACAGTACAATTAACAGTGCCAAAATAATAATTTATAAAATACTTGTAAGAAGATGAACATTATCAATGCAATTTATTAATGACCATTTGTTTTTTTGTATAACATGTAAGGCATATTAAAATATTTGTTTATATTTTTATGAGTATCAATAGGTTAGAATGTAGGATTTAATTTTTTACAAAGCAAACAATGATTTGTTTAATTTATATGAAACAGAGAATTGTTATAGGTATTACCTCTTCAAAATCCATAATATGTTATATATTATAATAATTCATAAATAATTATTAAATAATATCTAACAAGCGCAACTGCCTATATCTTTACTTTTTTAGCGTCAAGTAAATGATACCAGAGTTAATTAATTTAAAGCTCAAATATTTTCAGCTTTATCGCTGCTTCTTATGTAGATGGCACTTCAATCGAAATTATATAATGTAGTCAAATTTGACGCTCAAAGTTAGCGTCAAGCGTCAGCATGAAATCGCACCTGTAATCTTCTAGTCAGAATTTTCGTTATATGAATTAACCCTTTGAATGGTGAATACTTTTAACTCAAATGTTTTTTACGAACAAAATAATTTATTATTAACTAGAAGATTCTAATAATAAATTATATTAAATAATTAAAGTTTTTCTTTTTGAATATAATTTAATTAATTAATATAAAAATTACATTATTTTACATGAATATTAACAAACACGTATTATGCGTCGATATCCCCCCCTCACTCTCTGGTAATTATTACAAAACGCATATATGCGTTTCCCATAGCAATCTAAGGGGTTAATTAGGATGAATAAAAACGATAAAAGTATTTTAGTATGAAAACATCATTCATCGTACGATTCTGAAAAACTTTGTTTTTTTTTTATGTTTTTCTTTTTTTTTTTTATGTTTTTTTTTTCTCTTCCAGAAACAAAATTTTTATTCTAACACAAATATTGAACGATTCAATTCGAGTTAAAATCACGTCGAGTTGAAAATAAGAAAATTGAAAGATAGTTCAAAGGAAAGTTTAAGTGAAGGAAAATGGGGTGGAAGGAAGGAAGGAAGGAAGGAAGGAAGGAAGGCAGGAAGGAATGGGAACAGGATAACGGAAAGGGGAGGGAAGGGGGACAAAAGAAGGGTGGAAGAGAATCTTGATTTTCCCTCAAACGGGAGAGAAATGGATACGTGAGCGCGAGATCGCGGAAATCTCTTATCAGGAAATATTTTAAGAAAGATTATTTTCATCTCTTTGAAGATTAGAAACGGAAGAAGAAGAGAAGGGAAAGGAAAAAGAAAGAGATGGATAGATAGAATGAGATAAAAAAGGGAGATAGATTATTACTCGTTTTTGTGTTAGCATAGAAAACTGCAGGTTTGAGGAATAAAATTAAAAAAAAAAAATTAAAAAGAAGAACAAACAAATGTTATTTTAAAATCTCTCGTGTGTGTGTGTGTGTGTGTGTGTGTGTGTGTGTGTGTGCAAGGTTTCAAAGTATTCACACTTCTAAATATTATAGAAAAATTAATTTTCTTTTTACGATTGGAAATTATTAATGAAATAATAAAAGATTATATAGCTAATAATAAATTATAATAAATTATATATATTTTATATATA